ACAAAAACCTGATTTTACAAGCCAGCGGAGCAGAGTCTCACTTTGGCTCGAAGAATGAGTCTCAGAGAGTGTTTTATTTCTTCATTAGTGTGCCGTCACAGTGAGCGATCACCAAATGCGGGGCTGCATGAGAATGCTGGGGTTAAAGACAGCATAATGAACAAAGAAGGTGCCCGATTATCATGGCTGTCAGCACAGGGGAATTGGGTTTGTCACCTGGTTTAACCAACTGGTAAGAACTGATTAGGGACTGGAATCCTTTGAAAGGATCTCTGATGTTTATGTTCCTTTCTATCTCCACAACTTGTCAAGAGAATCTGATAAAGCCGGGGGTGGGGAGGATTTGCCATTGGTATATCTGAACAAGAGGTTCTTTGAGAAACTCCCACTGTCTCGTCTATTGAGCTGTCTGTCTACCACGGCACTGTAGAATAGAACTTTGTGTGAAGTCAGAAGCATCTATGGCCATGCTGTCTAGCAATGTCTGCAGCAACCCCATGTGACCACCGAGTCCTGGAAATGTGGAAGGCACAAATGAGAAACCGAATGTTACACTGCATGCTCATTACTTCACATTTAATAGCCACATGTGTCTAGTGGCTTTGTATTGGACAATGAGTATCCACTACAGGAAGGGAGCGAACAGGATTCTAAAGTCCAGGTCCTATCCTGCTCCCTCATCCAATAACACAGATCTCTATCAGCAAAGCGTTAAAAGCTTCCTTGAGTACCCTTCTCTCAAAGGAGGGCTTATAACTAATGTAATTAATAATTCAAAGTGAAAAGAACAAATGAAACAACACATTTGGGGCTGGAGAGATGGGTCAGCCTTAAAAGCAACAGCTGTTCTTGAGGATGATCTGAGTTTGATTCCCAGCACCAACATGGCAGCTAACAACCGTCTGTAACTCCAGTTCCAGGGGACTCTTCTCACCTCCATGGGCACTGTACAACATGTACACACGTGTCTACCTGCAGGCATACACTCAAACACATAAAACAAAAATAATAATAAAATATTTTTAAAAGCACATTTAACTGTGTAGAGTGTGATCTCCACCTTGACAGTACGATAGACCTCTGAGTCCTACTCTCAGAGATTATGGGGTACAGTGTGGCCACCAAGTAACTTAATTGCGTAGTCAGGGCAAAATCACTGAAAAAGAGACAGTGAGAGGCACTGACACCTGTTGTGGAGGTGGTTTGGCCAAAGCAGTGACTGCTAGAGATAGTAAGACAGACACTTATTAGATTCCTACCATGTGTCAGACCTTTGCAAATATGTTTCTTAAAATAGCCCCAGGCATAGATAGTGAGAATCCATTTCATAGATATGGAAATGGGGCTTGGGGAAATTAAACACTCAGTATTACAAGCTGGGTTAGTGCTTAGAGCTCTGGCTGGTGAGGTAGTTTCAGGACTTGCCATGAGCACTGGTCCCTCTTCACAGAAGCCTTGGGGAGCAGGTCAGTGGGCGTACAGTACCACTGGCCCATAAGCACCATGCACAAGACCTCAGAGCAGAGAAGAGCAGAAGAGAAAGGAACCTGTATGCTTCACGGATCCACACTGACCTTAAATCACAACGCCAAAAACCACAACTGGTCCTCTTTAAATATATAGAATGCAGTCTTAGAAATACATTCAAAAGTCACATCAACTTTTAAATATTTGGTTTCATTCATGTGCTAAAAATCAGTTTTCTTTTTGTTTTTGCATCCCCAGTATAATTCTGTTTATTCTTCCAGATATACAAAATTCCAAGGATTCAACTACCACATCAGTATAATGCATACAAACAACCCAGTCACTCAGGCATATTGCAGTCTCTGGAAATACCACACATTCCCAAGCAGCAAGGGACAGTAACTATATTGACACATAGTTCACTAGACTGCTAGACAACATGAGATTAAAAAATACCCATGAGGGGCTGGAGAGATGGCTCAGCAGTTAAGAGCACTGACTGCTCTCGCAAAGGACCCCGGTTTGATTCCCAGCACCCGCATGGTGGCTACGAGCTGTCCTTAACTCCACTTCCAGGGGAATCCAAAGCCCTCTTCTGACTTCCATGGCATTGCGCGACACAGGTGCACTCACATACATGCAGGCAATACACTTATACACATAAAATAAAAATAATAAATAAAATACTGAAAAAAAAAAAAATACCCATGAAAGCCAGGCATGATGGCACATACCTTTGACCCTAGCACTTGGGAGGCTGAGACAGGCCAACCTGGTCTACCTAGCAAGTTCTAGGCCAGCTGGGGCTACAGGGAGACCCTGTCTCTAAACGACAAAAATATAAATAAATAAATAATAAATAAATAAATAAATAAATAAATAAAAACCCATGTGCTGAGTACGGTGGTGCAAGCCTTTAATTTCAGCACATGAGAGGCAGAGGCAGGTGGATCTCTGTGAGATCAGGGCCAGCCTGGTTTCATAATAAGTTCCAGGTCAGGTGGAGCTACAGGGAGGCCCTGTCTCAAGGATATCAAACAAGCCCCCCCCAACAAAAAACCCCAAACAACAACAAAAATACCCATGCCATCCGAAGTAAGTTTTCTGACATTCACAGCACAGCTATGGAATCTCTGTGTAGAGTGTAGGTGGGCTGTGTGACACAAAGGGTTCTTATCAAAACATCAGTCCCCCTGGGCATGGCAATGCCTGCCTTTGATCCCAGCACTTGGGAGGCAGAGGCAAGCGGATCTCTGTGAGTTCAAGGACAGCCTGGTCTACATAGTGAGTTCCAGGACATCTGGGGCTACAGGGAGACCCCGTCTCAAAAAGACAAAAAAAATAAAAAAATAAAAAAACAAAAAAAGTTCCAGACTGGTGGAACTAACCTTCTTAAATGTTTAACAGACATACTTTGAGGCCTATACTAATTTGGTCAGAGGGACATAAAGGACAGTTTTTGCTCCTTGCCCTCCTAGGTTGACTAGTTCCCCCCCCTAAAAAAAAAAAAAAAAAAAAAAAAAAAAAAAAAAAACCATCAGTCCCAAATATTTTCCCCAAAGTTTGCTCTTGTGCCCTAAATTCCCACAACAGCCGTGTGGTTAGTGGTGGGACAGAGGCAGGGAGTTTATAATACTTAGGTTAGGAAATGAAAACTTCAAGATTTGACAAACTCGACAGCTATGCAGAATAAGAACTCAGTCTAGGAAAGGCATGAAGAGGAAGTGATGAGGAGACCCTGGCTGCTGTGTTCACACCTAAGGCTGGGCCTCGGTTCCCCTTAACTCTGGAGGTTTATACTTGATCTGGGAGACTGGGCAAGAGAACCTTCCAGAACTAGAAACTGTAAGTCTTCAGAATATGCAGCCCTGGCCCTGTGAGGAAGTGTGGTGTGATCCAGGGCATGTACTGGTAACATCTCTGAGCTAGCAGTTGCCTTGTCTTCAATATGAAGACAACATCTACCTTATAATTCAGTTCAATGTGGGTAATGTGATCAGGCTTGTTACATATTACCTAGGTCTAGTTTTCAAACTGGCATTAGCGTTAGTCATCTCTTACTATAAAAGCCAAGACAGAGGAAATAACAGTTTCAGCAAAAGTTAGTGATAGACCTGACACCTCTCTCCTTGCTCCCTTTGGGGGTGATTCTTGATTGTTCTACAATGAAGTTGGGCCTCATAGCAGCCTAAACTGCTCGAAAATCAGAAAAGGCTTCTATGTTCAGGGATGCTGTCCTTAGGCTGGTCCAGATGGAATTTATAATGATTTAAGAACAAAATAATAATAATCATAATAACATTAAAAGCCACATTAGAGATGCACACAACCAAAAAGACTATATTGAATGCTAATAATCCTAAGGGAAATGGAGATAGAGCATCCCTAATCCAAAATTTCAAAGTTTCAAAATGCTCTAAAATCTGATTCTTTCTGAGCACAGACGTGACACCCACCATAAGGGGACAATTCCATAATTGACCTCACGTGATAGACTGCAGTTAAAACAGACACTAAAAATACTGCATGAAGTTACTATCAGGCTATGTGTATGTTTATCAAACATAAATAGTTTTCATGTTTAGACTTGGGTCCCATTTGAAATGTCTATGTAAATGTTTAATAAAACCCCCAAATCTCTAAATGTAAAGCTTTTCAAACCAAAGATACCCAACTTGCTCTTCATTAGTTCCATTCTACAGATGGAGAAATTCAGACTTTAGAGGCTAAGCAGTCACTCAGCTAGTAAACTGGGCTGGGAAGCAAGCCCCAAACTTGTAAAGACCTTGGTGCTACACTCTCAGGCTATGCCCAGAAAGACAGAACACATCTAATGCAAAATCATAGCTGAAATGCCCAGGGCCCATCAGTCCTGCCCTGGTCAAGGATGTAGCCATTGCAAGGTCTGATGAAAAAGAAACACCCAGTGAACATCATCCAAATAAAATGAGAGAAGGGGTTTCTCTACCTCACTGCACACCACACATAACTACCCCGTTCGTTCACTAGCCCAGCATTTATTAAGTGCCTAACATGAAATAAGCACTTATTAGGGTCCTGGCCTAAGTGTTATGAATACAAAACTATGAGAAAAGAGAGAAGGGATGTAAAAATGACTGAATCAATGACCTCGGCGCACGCTGAGCAGTCACCTTACAGACTGAAACCATATTCCTACACCGTGCTTTCTACCTGTTTCTCCTGTGCTCCTTAAGCTTCCTGGAGTCCTCCATGCAACCATAAAGCATTTTATAAATTCCATTCTCAGCTCTAATTACACTGTCAGACAACCTCAACACTCAAGCTCAACTCCACAAAGTTGTCTGTTGGCAGCTGTGCATTTTGAACCAGAAACAGTGAAAAAGATTCTTTCTTTTCAAAAGCATTTCCCCTGCTATGATAGAAAGAGGATGCGTGCTTGGTATCTGATTTGCCCCCTGCAAGGTTATCCTGGGAGAAGCCCTGGCAGGACCCTGCTGGGTGGTAATGAAAGCTGCTGGCATCGCAGAGACAGGAGGCACCAAACTACTTACGGGTGCAGGGCATGGAAGCGGCGTCGCTGTCAGCTCTGAAAAAGCCTCGGTCACAGGTGCACGAGGTGGCTCCTTCCCAGACAGAGTAGCTGTGGGGTGGACACTTGGCACATGTGGCATCCGTGGAGAGAGCCTTGTAATATCCAATCTTGCAAGCTACAGGGAAGGAGGAAAAGAAAAACGAACAAATATAAACCACCGCGACAGCAAAGCAAAACAGGAAGGCATTTCCTTGATGGCAGGAAGGGAACTTTCCTCATCTCTAGCAATCACCTGGGTTGAGATGGAAGCAAAGCAGCCCAAAACGATAATCGGTGGAGACAGGGTCTCATGTAGACCAGGATGGTCTCTGTATAGCTGAAGGTAGCCTTGAACTTCTCATCCTTCTGCCTCTATCTCCTAAGTGCTAGGATTATAGGCCTGTACCACCATGCCCATTTTGTGAGGTGCTGGGGAATCAAACCCAGGGTTTTATGTCTGCTAGGCAAGCACTCTTGTGGCTGAGCCATGTACCCAGCCCATAGCTACTCTTTAAAGGCCACTTACATGCCTGGTTAATTGAAAAAAAGCCTCCGCAAGATACTGTCTTAAAACTAGCACTATCAGGTACAGCCCAGTAACAGCTCCTTGAAGTGACTCTAGGCCAGCAACCCATTATATGTATTACTTATTCAATCCTTACAGTAACCCCTTTCCATAAGCGCTACTATTATCTTCCCCTTAGAAATGAGCAATTCCAGCTTCAAGCAGGTAATTGCTAGCATAACACTGCATCTGGTAAGTGTCAGCAGCCAGCTTTGACCCCCTAAGTGTTCTGCCCCCCAAATCTGGACTCTCTGCCACTTACTTTGGACTCTGAGAGTGTGACTTTTATTTAATCACCCAGGTAGAAGTGTGTCCAAACAACAACCAAAAAAATTGTCAGTGGTCATTTCCTAATTATCGTCACAAAGAGAATTAAACTGAAAACGCAACAAAAGCATTCAAGTAAAGAAGAGCGCTTGCAAGGCATGACCCTTTCCATTTCGGGATAAAGCAATAAAGACTACTAAAGACAGACTCTCGAATAGCATATAGTAGGTAGTTTATTTTAAAATCAGCAGATATTCCGTGTTTATCTTCGAGTTCGTGAAACCTTTCTGTATTTCTCTGCCTCCATTTTCAGCACCACCTGCAATGTGCACCCTGCAATGTCACCCCACAAGAGGTAGGTGCAGTTCTCTCTGCACCTGACATGCTTTCCATGACCTCATCTTTATAAACATCACACACTGACACTAAGGACTACTTTCACTAATATGGAAAAAATCCAATAATGCTATGAAACCTCATCATAAAAAATAATTAATAGGGCTTTGCTCCTTTTCCCCCTTTTTCCTCCCCACAGTCTTCATGATCACCTCCCAAACCTATCCCAACCTGAAATAAAAACTGACCAGTGCCATCAAGTATGAAGCTCACAGATAAGAACACAGAAGGTATTCTAGAATGGCGGTGAGTTTAAAAAGCAAGCGAGTTACCCACAATTTTCCCAGCATGATTTGCTCTCCAGTCACTTCATCATGTACTTGGACTGTGTCAATTCTACCAAACAGCCCAGGCTGGAACAAGGAGCCACTGCACATTTTCCACCAGCCTAACCAGCAAGAGACCAACCATGGTAGCCATCCAGGGAATTCTCTAGAAGGAATAGATCAGATGAGACACATACACACTGGGTTCTCTGTGGCGATAAAGGCCACCAACAGCAGCCACGCTGGCCCCTGGAGCATTCCCACAGCTTCCTGCCCCTCTCTCATTCTGGTCCATCCTGTTGGCATTTTCTTCATCATCTCGCATCATGACAAGCGGAAAGGGAGTTTAGCAGATGCTCAGAAAGGCACAAAGTTACTTCAGTCTTATTAACTAAAGTTGTTTATGGAATTTCCTTTACTGAGCCAAAACTTTACGGCTTGTGGAGCACCGACAGTAAAAGCACTCAGAGATCAATCTCTCCCTTATTTGCTTTTGGTCTTTCACTGGACCGAAGCATCTTAGAAAAACAAATTGCTCCAGTGGCTGAGATTTATGTGTCTCCCAAGTTCATATGCATTGCATAATTAGATAAGGTTCAACTTGCAAGGTTCTTTTTGGTCATGCTTTAGATGGCCCTAGGGTTTTCGTGAAAATCGGCACCCCAGGCTTCAGCAGGAAGAAACACTGAGGGTCAAGCCTCACAGTCCCACATCAAACACTAAGAGCCCTGACCTTGGGACACAAACTCCCTGGGTCCCACCTGCCACTCAGTGAGTCACAGTAGACAAGAACAACTTGAGGCAACTCATATCAGGACTTCCAACAAGGCACAAATTATTTTTATGTCTTTAAAACAAAAATCTGCATGGTTAATTTTTTCCTTTGGGGGGGGCGGGCTCAGCTGGCCTGGAACTCACTATGTAGACCAGGCTGGCCTTGAACTCATAGAGATCTGCCTGCCTCTGCCTCCTAGGTACAGAGATCAAAGGCTGGGATCAAAGGAGTGTGCGGCACCACTGCCCCACAACCCTGGCTTATTCTTAGACACTTTCATTTTATACAGCATCACCATTTAAAATTGCACAGTATGAGTACAATGTGTGGAAATTGATAGAAATTAGCCAGTAACCACATTCAAAATGAGGCAAGAGGAACTGGAGAGGCCTCAGCGGCTAAGAGCATGTGCTGCATTTCCAGGAAACTCAACGTTCAGTTGCCAGCACCCACATGACAGTTCACAACCACCTGCAATTCCAGGCCCAGGGACTTCAACATCCTCTTCTGGCCTCCATGGGTATGCATGCCTACATGCAGTGCATATATACACACTCCGACACACACATATACAGAGAAAATAAATAATTTTTTTGACAATTATCAAGGGGAAAAATTGTCATTTCTGTGATTTCTATTCTTACTAGACAGCTTGTAAATACAAAAGTAAGCTCAAGTTCACAAAATCATATTGGAAGAATGTGTTCCAATTTTCATTGTACTTCTTATGTGAATTTAAGGGAAAATGAATTTGCAAGTTAATTTTTTTTCTCCTTTCCCCTCGAAGCTGGTATTAATATATTACCAAGGATAAATATATGTGAATTCATTTGGGAAATACAGAGCTTTATACCAATTTAGAAAATTGAAAGCCACTGTTCTTTTAATTTCTTCCTGCTTTTACAAGCACAAGCAAAAAATACAGAATTGTGACTGTGCTATTTGTGGCAGCTCTCCCTACCCTTAACACATTCTTTTGTCTTCCAACTACATTAAGACCATGTTATTAATATTTCAGAATTCTTAGAAAGGCTCTTTCAAAATATCGTAGTGGTTTTTCACACACACAGCCATTTTGCTGCCTACATTCAAAATGACCTACTAAACTGATGGTTCCCTAACATTTCTTTACTCTGTAGAATTCACGGTCTTCCAGGATTTAGTGCAGCCTGCATTTGTTCATTGTGCACTTCCACTAGGTTTTTTATTCTAAACAAAATTCCTTGGAAAGATCTACTTGGCCTAACTAGCACTGACACGTTATTATTTCCTACCATTCTCTTTTGGCTGAGTATCGCCTCATTGTAACTTTGAATGTGAATGAATTTATAAGCAAATCTTCAAGAAGCATCTCTCTGCTGTATCTGTCCCTGTGAAGATGCACAGGTCAGTACCTCCCAACAGTTTCCAACTTGGCTTTCTGACTGTACCATTGTGGAAAGATCAGTTCACATCAGCAAAGCAAACTTTGCATGGAAATCTCCTTAGGTCTGCCTTAGTGACTTCTTTTTTAATATTTTATTCATTATTTTTATTTTTTATGTGTAGAAATATATTGCCTGCATGTGTGTAAGTGTACCTGGGTCTTGCAAGGTCCATAGAGATCAAAAGTGGCATAGTATCCCCTGAAACTGGAGCTTCAGCTAGTTGTTAGCCACCATGTAGAACAGTCAGAGCTCTTAACCACTAAGCCATCTCTCCAGCCCCAAGACTTCTTTATCCTAACATAAAATAAACATGGAGGATGAAGAGGAAAAGGAAAGAAAAAGACAAACTTTTCATCAATTCACCTACAACCATAACAAGGTTGATTTGAAGATTCTTCACTGAAGACCCTTTGTGGAATACATAGTTGTAATTGTTTTTGGTCAAATACAAAGACGTTTGTAAAGCTAAGGTAGGTCAGCAGAAGGCCTGGTGGCCTGGCACTTAGGAGGATGGGACAAGAGGATTGCCATAAATTCTGGGCTACTTTTACTAGATAACTGAGATCCTGTCTCAAACAAATCAAAAGCTAATGTAAGTTTTGGATTATTCATCATTGTTATTTTTTAATGAAAAGATGGAATGCCCAATGCAATGAACTCTCTTGTCTCCTCTTTTAAAATATTATTTTGTGGGGCTGGAGAGATGGTTCAGCTGTTAAGAACACTGGTTGTTCTTGCAGAAGACCTGGATTTGAATCCCAGAACCCACATGGCAGCTAACAACTGTCTATAACTCTAGTTCCAGGGGATCTGAAAGTCTTTTCTGTTGTCTGAGAGCACTGCATGACACAGGTGCACTTGTCTACATGCAGGCAATACACACATACGCATAAAATGAAAATAATAATAAATAAAATATTTTTTAAAATTTTGTGCCAGGTGTGGTGGCACACACCTTTAATCCCAGCACTCTAGAGGCAGAGGCAGGAGGATCTCTGTGAGTTCAAGGCCAGCCTGGTCTACATAGTGAGTTCCAGGCCAGCTGGGGCTACAGGGAGACCCTGTCTCAAAAAGACCAAAAAAAAAAAAAAAGCTGCACACAGCATTTGGGAGACTGAAGCAGGAGGATCTCCAGTTTGAGGTCAGCCCGGGCTTCATCTCAAAAAATAACAAAATTCCTATACAGATGGTTATGGTCATTTTTCTCCTTGTAAAGAACTACAAAAAGATTCATAATACCTGATTGTCTTCATAGTTCATTTTAAAACTAATTTAGCTTGTAATATAACTAGTAATAGCAACTGTAGTGACAAATGTCAAGCATGCATTGAGTATTTATAGTATTTACGTGCATTATTTAACTTAATTACCATAATAATCCATGTGCTTGAAAGACTAACACAATTTTTTAGATGAAGGAATCCAAAGTTGTAAGTAATC